TCTTTGACTTTGATTCACAGCCAATGCAACATTGGGCCGTTGTCACCATTGCCAACCTTGATGTCACGGCTCCCTTGCAAAATTTTTTGAACATATCGAATGGCTAGTTGCACGGCCAGTTTGACATCCGCCATCTATCCGCTCGTTGTAAGTCAACACTTGCATAAGCTGTACAGTGACTTTGTTCGAACCTTTGCAAAATTGGCAGCAATCGCGGCTGCAAGAGTGCATCCAGTTCCTACGGTAGAATGGGCACTACGTCATATACAAGGATGCACAGAATTTCGAACCATGGGTATTCGACGTGTGCACGCGAGGGGAAGAAAACAGCTCGAAGGATTCGCCATCGAATAGGACGTCGACGACTGTTTCCGATTCCAAGTGTCCGCCTTTAATCAGGACATACTTGGAACTGCCCAAGGCCATCAAGTCCACTGCAGCTTGTTTCATGTCGTCCACAGTTGAAATCACTCGATTGCCCAACTAGTGAAGAGGCACTTCGCGTGATTATTCCTGGGGGTAAAAGACAACCTCCATACCAGCATGGACGCCTCGGGCAAGTTCGGGGTGATGATTAACGCCAGCGGGAACAAGTTTGTGACCAAACTTCGGTGAGCTTCGATCTCAAGCAACCTACCACCAACCCACAGCGCTAAACTTCGACCATGCACTTCAAGATATACGTACCTGTGGCCGCTCGTCGACACCATGACAGGGTCGACCACTAAAGGGATGTTGCGGTGGGAAATCGCGTCAACAACGCACCGAATAATGTCAGCGGAGGCAAGCATCCCAGTCTACTGAACATGAGTCCAAGCGATTCCAGCTCTTGATGGCGCACCTTGATCACATTTGCGCCAATATCGTCCAGCACGCAAGTGATTTGGGCGCCCAGTGTGTCCAGCGGAATATTATGGATGCCGTGAACACCCTTCGTGTCTTGAACCTATGGGCCCGTAGTAAATACACGCGTCAAGTTCGTTATAGAGGCAACCGTGATGGCTGTCAATGCGCTCATTGAAAACACACCCTGGGCAGTGCACGCTTTCATGTCGGCTTGAATACCAGCCTACATATTTACGTGAATCTATGCACAGGCTATGGCAAGTCGTACGCCGCCGCCACTGTCAGATCCAGCAATGCAGAGCACTCGAGGAATGCTCAATCGTAACGCGTTGGACGACGTCGTGTTTGTAGTTTCCATTACGCCACTGGATTGGCTCCACTTACACACAGCTTCAAGGGCCTGGAGCTCGGATGTCGCAATGGCGGCATCGAGCTTCAGCATTCGAGGCACCAACGTTAACGGAATCGATTGCCGTTGTGCCAGCACAAAAGACAGCGTGCTTCCAGTATGGTCAACTTCGGATGTTGCGTTAATTGATGCGATTGCATTTTCAGCAATTGACATTGGATCTAACACGAGCGTAAGGTCTCGCCAGAGGCTGCAGTGCACGTACGAATAATCGTTGAAAGGCGATGCATGGGGAAGTAGGCTTCAAAGAAGTTGAGTTCCAGTTGCATCGCGCGGGTGTATAGAGGAAGCAATCTTGACTCGGGGATGCCGTCGCGTTGAGCAACCGTGTCCAAGAGTTGCTCAATCGTCGTCGCGCTTGCCTACGAACCATTCATGTTGCCGCGACGGTGTTAATATCGTCGGCGCTTGTACCTCAAACTCGGGGCTGGAGTAGGTGTCGATCCATTTGGCATATCGATTGTCAGAGGGCACTGCTTGATGAGCTGCTTGAACCTTCTGGCCGAGGAATGCATACAGTCGAGCGCATGGGACCATCGCCGCCAGAATTTCAGCCACACTTGGCGACGTTTTGGCCGTGGAAAGCAGAAAATCGACGTATGCGCGAGTAGCGGCGGTTGGAACAGTTGCCTCGACCACATCCAAGGCAATGCCCCATGACTTGGAACACGCATAGTTGGAATTTGGAAAATATGAAAGGAAAAAACTAGCTTACCTGCATGTACGAAGCGTGGAGTTTGAGTTCATCATTCACACCTTGCATCAACGCGACAAGCGTAATCGAGTCAGACGGCGTCGACACCTTTGTGATGGCATAGGCAAACGATTGAAGAAAGCCATGAAGATAGAAGGCATCTTGAAGGAGGAAGTTCTGAAAAGCCTCCACCGGCAACCTGCCTGAGCCAATGCCCAACACGAACGCGTGATACAAACAAGCTTGGCTTTCGCGGGCTACGCTCGCCCAAAGACGGGAACTCAATCGTGTCGCCATAACAACGTTGTCAATGCCCAATGGCCACGAATAATTAGGGAGTACTACGTAGTACTTATGTCCATTTGATTGTTGCGAAAATACATGCCTGTATTTCGTACTGTCTACGTGGCCCAATTGGATAGGGCATCCGCCTACGAAGCGGGAGATTGCGGGTTCGAGTCCCGTCGTGGACTTTCCTTTTACTGAGCTGTCATCTGTTCGACCTTCAGGGTTTCTGACCACAAATTACCACCTTTGAAAGGCATACACTGCTCGCCACATGGTTGCAGCCACACCATTATTTCGGCAATGCGCAAAGCTAAATCAAATCTTGGACATGTTTTCTGTAGGAACCATGCCGAGTAGGCATTCAAATACATGTAAGCGACCTATCGGAGTAATTTGCGAAGTCGACATGCGTAAGGAAGCAAATTCAAAATTCTGTGTGCGACAAATGATTGCAGCCATCAACAGGATATTGTATTCAAATCCAAGTAATCACACTTGCAGCCTTTCGCTTCGACTACTGCCAGGCATCGTCGTGGCACCGAATTGATGAGGCTTTGGAGGTAGTTGAGGGAAAATCGGGACCACGCCAACTTGATGGCACTGACAAGATCGTTTTTCGTCATGTACTGCTTTCCGTTGGGATAAACCATTCTCGCAAGTAAACCCCAAACATTTTCTATGGGATTTAGGTCGGGAGATAGTGCAGGATGGTCAAACAGGTCGACGTTTTCATCCTTCAAAAACTCCAATGTTTTCTTCGATCGATGGATAGACGC